GTGTGTGTGTGTGTGTGTGTGTGTGTGAGAGAGCGAGAGAGAGAGAGAGAGCAAGAGTCTGTGTGTGTGTGTGTGTGTGTGTGAGAGAGCGAGAGAGAGAGAGAGAGCAAGAGTCTGTGTGTGTGTGTGTGTGTGTGTGAGAGAGCGAGAGAGAGAGAGAGAGCAAGAGTCTGTGTGTGTGTGTGTGTGTGTGTGAGAGAGAGAGAGAGAGAGAGAGAGAGAGAGAGAGAGAGAGTGTGTCTGTGTGTGTGTGTGTCCGCGGGCGCAGCTGACGGCTGTAGAATGTTGTATGTGTAACTGATAAGGCTGAATGTTTCTCTCAGCTGTTGTAAACAGGTGTTTAATGTTGGAATCTCGAGGCGTTTGTGCAGCGTTTCAATCAGCGCTCGACTGCGAGACGGATCAGTAATCCTCTCAAAGCCAACGCCACACTCGTCCCCTCCGGACACCAGCGTTCCCGTCACACGCGTGTGTGTGTGTGTGTCGTCACAGAGATTACATGTCACAGCCAATTTGTGTTTAAGCAAATATGTGTGTGTGTGTGGTGGGAGGGGGATTTATGTTTCTGATTACTTATTTCACCAAAAAAAAAAAAAAAACATTAAATCAACTGTGTGATTCTGTAACTGTTGGCGGCGGGGCTGGTCTCTTTCGTTGAGCTCTGCTGTGAGTTGATGTGTTTCTTCAGGATGGTATCAATGGCAAACATCTGCTCTCGTATCTCCTGCAGCTAATCACAGGCTTTGATTGCTCGCTCGCAAACAAAGAGCGACATTAAGAGCATTTTCTGTCTGTAATCCTCACAGAAACGCAGCATTTGTCTTCTACTGGTGATAATGCTCAAAATCCATGATTTCATCTGTGATGATGAAGAATGAGGATTAGTAAACGGAATGTTTCCACTAGAGCCACATAAAAACACACTTCAGCGGTTTAAGATCATTTCTGAATCATCCAAATTTATGTTATAACAGTATTAAACTTGTTTTGTTCACATTGTTATTGGGATCAAGTCAGATCAGCTCCTGAGATGCTCTTCGTTTAAAGCGGTCTTAGTTTCAAAATTAAAGACGGAATTCATATGAACCTACCAGGACCCAAACATGTCAAAACTTCCTAAAATCTGAAATCAGATCAGTGTTAATTTTAAAGGGACAGTGAACCAGCTTTACATTTAGATTATTAAAAGTCGTCTGAAAAGATCCATTCAGATCCCTCAAACACACACAGATGACAGATGAGAGGATGTTTATATGACATGAGACAAACTATAAACAATGTGCTATTTCAGATTTTCAATACACTCCATTCTGTGTGATTTATAAGCGTTTTGAAAAGTGGGGACATGGGGTTATGTCCTTAAAAGTCACCTTCTCCTTGTAATACCTGCCATACACACACAGTCACACACAGACACACACACACACACACACAGTCACACACGCTGAAGCAATGAAAGCAGGTCTGATTAGTGTTTTAGTCACGTTATAATGTGTCTTTTAGGTTACTAGGGTCAGAGGTCAAACATAGTGTCACGTGACATCAGCTGTAAAAGAAAAAAACAAATATTGTGGACTCAATTTGACTGAGAGTTAGACATTTAATGTTTTTATTTTCCAAAGCTGCAGTTTATAGATGGATAGATAATTTGTAACATGTCTTTGATTAAAATGTTGTTACTTAGCAAAGAGTAACAGTGAGAGAGAAAAAGTGTGTGTGTGTGTGTGGTTGAGTGCGTGTGTGTGTGTGTGTGAGTGTGTTTGTGTGTGTGTGTGTGTGCG